CTATGGTCAGGTCCCAGCACTGCTCTTCCACTGTCTAGGTGTCAGGAGCTTTGTGTAGATGCTTCTCCATAGCACCCTGTACAAGGTGACATACTGACAGTTGCACCTGTAAGTTCTGCTCCCTCTCACAGCTCAAAAGGAATTTTCCCTAATTTTCCCTAAGCCTGCATATCTACAGGGCAAGTGCTTGCAACCCAGGCTCCCTTTGGAGCTCAGTGTGTTCTTACCCGATGAGAGAAATTGGAAAGCTTGGGGCCTCCTTTTATCCTGTCCAAAAGGTACAGACAGGACAATTGCATCCCCATGGCACCTGTTTTTCTCTGTTGGCTGCATGGAGACCAGATCAGAAACCCTCACCTACTCCTGCTCTGTGGATATGAAATGTTGATCCCATAAAACCCCATGAGTGAATGGCTTCTCTGGTCCCAGTGTTGGTCTGAGCCATATGTGTCCATGGGAGTACGCTCACACTGCAGGGGACGAGGGCAAGGTGACCCAAAGCATCTCTCTTGAGGGACTAACTCCATTTAGTCAAGGCTACTGGTGGTCTACCCTGAAGACTTTGCTGCTTGCAAATGAACCTTTTTTACATATTTGCTGCAGTCATTACCACTGAGATGGAACTGTCTTCGCAGAAAAAGTCCTTAGTGCTCAGCTCAGCGTCCCTGTTTTCTGCACTCTGTCTGAAGTGTGTAACAGATGACAGCTGCCCAGGAGCTTTCTCTGTCTCCATGTAATCACCACTAGGTACAAGCATCTGTTGAACACCAGGGGCATCAGGCTTGCAGAAGCTAAGCCATGTTTGTGGACAGGAGCACCAACCTGCAGCAGTTATGTGTTGCCTTTATTGCTCCCCCCGATCATTTACAATTTACTTTTCAAAGTCTGTTCTATAACAAGTGATGATCACTTTGCCTTAGATCTCTGTAGCCTGGTCTGTTCCCCTGCCCCTTGTCTATGAGCAGGGCATCCTCCTTATGCCATTTCCCTCAGCATGGTGAGAAGTGAGCACAACTGTTACCCCAAGGCACTGAGTGATTTATCTAAGGGGAAAATATTGCCAAGGCCATTTTCACCATCCAACTTGAAAAACGTTTTTTTCCAAAGGCTTAGTTATCCATTATCCAACTGTCACAAACATTTCCATTATGCCTTTCTGCCTATGGCTGCTCTCAGGCTTTGGGTCATCTGTCTCTCCTCAATTCTTGGTTTGCATAGGATGCTTCAGAAACTCCCATAACTTCTAATGCTGAGCACTAGCTCAGGTCAGTGGGGGCGGGGGGAAGCAGTGTGCACATTCACAGACACACAGGCAAGTGTTTAACTTGTAGTCTTATAAGTGGAAGCTGCAATCCTCATGTAAGTGCTTCACAGAAATAGAGTTGTAGGGCAAAAGGAAGGTGAAGTGTGAGTTAGGAGGCTGTGGAGACGATGTAGCATCCCAGGTCCTCTTTAACATGGAGTAGCCTACCTGTTCTGCCCTGACAGGAGATTTGTCCCAAGGGAAAAGTGAAAACAGATGTCCATGAGTTGCAAATCAAAGCAGAGGCCTTGTCTTTCAAGCTGTTACAGACTAAAATGAAATGGGCAGAATACACTCAATAGACACAAACTCCTCTGAGTTTTCCCTCCCAGACACTGCAAGTTTACAAACAGCTGTTGCTGGCTGCAAATTCAAAATCGACTTTATAGCTAATCCCACCAAGCTCTAGTCCCACAGTGTGCACAGTTACATGCACAACACCTCCTCACAGGCCACCTGGTCACCAGCATTCTACCCCTCTCCTGGAAATGGGGATTCCCCTACTCTCACACTCCCTCCTGTGAGAAGCGGGTGCTGCCCCATGCCCACACCAGTGACAAAGACTCCCCTGGGCTCAGACCCAGGCACTGCTGGTGTGCATCTCCACTGTAGCATCCCATGCTGCCACCGCACTAGAATAGAATAGGATAGAGTCTTTCAGTTGGAAGGGACCTACAATAATCATCCAGTCCAAATGCCTGACAACTTCAGGGCTGGCCAAAATTTAAAGTATGTTATCAAAGGTATTATCCAAATGCCTCTTAAACACTGACAGGTTTGGGCCATTCACCACCTCACTGGGAATCCTGTTGCAGTGTTTGAATACTCTCTTGGCAAAGAGGTACTTCTTAATGTCCAGTACAAAGCTGTTCTGGCACAGCTTTGAACCACTCCCACACATTTTGTCACTGAATACCAGGGACAAAAGCTCAGCACCTCCCTCTTCACTTCCCCTCCTCAGGAAGCTGTAGAGAGCAATGAGGTCACCCCTCAGTCTCCTTTGGTCCAAACTAGACAAGTCCCAAGTTCTGAGGCCCTCCTCACAGAACATTCCTTCCAGGCCTTCCAGTAGCCTTGTTGCCCTTCTCTGGATGCATTCAAGGGCCTTCACATCCATCTTAAATTTTGGGGCATGGAACTGCACATGGTACTTGAGGTGAGGCTGCACGAATGCTGAATACAGTGGGACAATCCTGTCTTCTGCCTGGCTGGTGTTGTGCCTGGTGCACTCCAGGGTGCAGTCTGCCCTGCTGGGTTCCAGGACTCACAGTGGACTCACATTGAGCTGCTGCTGAACAGAACCACCAGATCTTCCTCTGTAGGGTTGCTCTCCAGCCACTTGTCTCCCAGTTTATACTTGTGTCCGGCATTACTCCATCCTAGGTGCAGGATGCAGCATTTGAACTTTTTCAATTAATCATGGCTAGAAAAGTATCATCAAGATTTGGCAAGCTCAGTCAGTTCATACGTTTTCTATTCTCTTGAACTCTACCTCTCCCTTTAACCCCCATTCTTTCAGATTAGGTTGATTTTCACAAGGTATTTTTGTAGTGTGCATGTGTGTGAGTGTTTTATATGGGTGCACGTGTTTGCTTTTCTGTAATGACTGCTGTAAACGTAATATTAAAGAACCAGGATTACCATTTAGACATATACTGCTGGGAGTCTGACTTCAAACACACATGATCTGCATTTCTCGTCAATGTTTTCTGTTATGTTTTCTTAGTCTTATTCCCAACCATGTGCCTTCATATGCTTTGTTCTTTTCAAGATTATTTTTAAGCAAATTCCCAAATGCAAATGATTGGGTTGAAATTGAATTAGGTAGCAACAGTAAACTAGTCAATTCTCAATTAACAGTGTTAGGAGAAAATGCTGGGTGGCTTTGTGGCTTGATTTGTATAAATGGGTCATGGAGTGGCTTTTCTGTAGGTCTCTGAAGAAAAAGGCATTTGCTTCACAGCCTATTGCTCCTCCCCCAGTGTCAATTCAAGCAGAACACAATTCAAAAGGCAGTTTTTGAGCTTATCCTATTTTTAGATGATATCGCACAGTTTGACACAATTTGTATTTAAAAGGGGATGGATATCTCCTATTTGCATAAGTGAACACTGTGGAGTGGCTTTCTGCAGCAGATGTGTGTCTAAATCCCATGGGCATTGTGACCAGCTAGGTAAGGCAGGTGGCACAGCAGATGACTGCTGCTGCCTCTTATTATCGGTTGCACTGGATAAGTTTTCTGAAGCATGTTCACAGTGAAGCTGAGACCTTTCTCTCCCTCCCTTTTTATTTCCACCCATTTTATTGTTCTGTCTGGAAGACCTCCAGCCCTAACCCCAGCCCCGCTCCTGAAAAACATGAATTGTCCATGGATGGTCTGGAAGCAGCACAGCGAATGCTGAGAAGCATAGTTGGCATGGGGGCTCAGAGGTAGTGGAGATGCTGTGGTGCCATAGAGTCATAGGATTGTTTAAGTTGGAAAAGACCTTTAAAACTATTGAGTCCAACTATTAACCCAGCACTGCTAGGTCCACCAGCACACCATGTCCCCCAGTGCCACATCTACACATCTTCTAAATAATTCCAGGGATGGTGACTCAACCATTTCTCCAGGCAGCCTGTTCCAATGCTTGACAACCTTTTCCATGAAAAAATTTTCCCTAGTATCCAATCTGAACCTTCCCTGGTGCAACTTGAGGCCACTTCCTCTTGTCCTGTTTCTTTTAGGCAGGAGAAGAGACTGATGTCCACCTCACTACAACCTCCTTTCTGGTAGTTGTAGAGAGCAATAAGGTCACCTCTGAGCCTTCTTTTCTCCAAGCTAACCAGTTCCATTGCCCTTCTCTGGACATGCTTCAGCACCTCAGTGTCTTTCTGGTAGTGAGGGGCCCAAAACTGAACACAGGATTCAAGGTGTGGCCTCATCAGCACTGAGTACAGGAGAAGAATCACTCCCCTGCATCTGTTGGCCACACTATTGCTGATACAGGCCAGGATCTCACTGGCCTTCTTGGCCACTTGGGCACACTGCTGGCTCACGTTCAGCTGCTGTCAACCAATACCCCCAGCTCCTTTACCACCAGGCAGCTTCCCAGCCACTCTACCCTAAGCCTGTAGTGCTACCTGGGGTTGTGACCCAGGTGCAGGATCCAGCACTTATCTGTGCTGAACTTTATATAACTGGCTTCAGCCCATCAATCCAGCCTGTCCAGATCGCTCAGCAGAGCCTTCCTGCCCTCCAGCAGATCAAGACTCCTGCCCAACTTGGTGTCATTTGCAAGTTTACTGAGTATGCACTCGCTCTTCTAGTCCAGATCAACAATACAGATGTTAAGAAGAACTCACCCCACACCCATCTTTGCACAGAGCCTGTGGCCCCTTTACCTCTTTCTCCTCTTCCTTTATAAAGGTTTTTTTCAGCTATGAGGATAGTCTGAGTGCAATTCCTCTCCTTAAGTCAAACCCTTTATTTCATACAGTCAGGGACAGCTCAGGCAAGAAAGAGGGTTTCAGCTGTTAATTGTTTTCCCTTTCTTCCACTGCAGCAGGAAAATCCTATCAAAAGAAAGTTAATTATTTAAATGTGTCCTCCATTTGAATTGCTTATTCAGAGCTGTTTCTTACACCTCAGTCACCCTGAGGCTTTTCCTGCTTTGAGTAAACCTGCCGAGGTTTTATATTATTTACCAAATAACGCTGCTGCTGACCACAAATTTATTAAAGATCTACTGGAGACAAAGCAGCCATGTATTACAATACAATTTTACTCTGCACTGACTTCAAAATGTATTGTGCTGGAGATAATCGCATGGAGGCAATTACAGAAACTGAAGAGGATCAAACAGAGTAATAGGGATATAAAAGGAAACCTGCATTCTTTATACGCTACTCCCCATGCATGTGAATGCTTCCCTTTTATCTTATTTTTAAAGAAGTTTCAAATTACATAGTAATTACAAATTCAAAAGGATTTTTTTCACACAAAATTATCTGGTCTTAGCCACTCTCCTGTGTAACACTGGAGCAGCTTCCCAAGGCTTGCAGTTAATGTAACCATCTCGGCAAACACAGGACAGGTCTGTACAGAACAATACATAGTTCTTTTTGGGCTCAGGTCTTAACCCTGACCCTTCTTGAAGGATCAAAATAGATGATCACAGTGGGTCCTTCTGATTTTATTTTCTAAGACAAGATATAAATAAAATATCTCGGGCAGAAAGCTGATTGATCTGAATATTACTAAAGTATTATAAATTAAACCACTAATCAACTGACTGAGAGTGCAGTGAAGTGTCAGGATAATTATGTAAGTTAGTTATCATTTATAGCTACCCTAGAAGATTTGTCCTACCACCCAGGATGAAAAATCAGTGCTAGTGATTATGGCATGACTTTGGGAGGTGCGAAACAGTGGACCAGTGCCCAAGGAGCGTATGTAGTGGCAGCTGCAAAAACGCTGCATGAGGAAAGGTGATTAATAGGCACAGGAAGAGCCTTCAACTTAGATCTGAATCAATTCTGCTTAAAATCTGTAGGCGAAGTCTGTGGAGCACACAGGATTGCATATCCTTGTAGAGCTTGCATATGGAGACTTCCAAGGTTGTGTGTTTGCACATTGTTGGAATTTGGTTCAACAGGCTGATCAGAGCAGAAAGGCAACCACAGACACCATTCATTTGTGAGCCTCTTCAAGGAGAATTCCACTGCAAAATCACCTTGAAATGAGAGGTTTTTCCATTTGCTTCAACAGGCCAGAGTCCATTTATTATATGCACTGAGAGCCACTGAAAGGGAGAAAGGCTGCCAATGCGCCCTGTCCAGAGCAAGCTCATGCATGAAAGCAGTACCAGTGGAGAGGGGAAGGTAGTAGGTGATGTTTAAGAGTCCCTAAGTCATCCAATTAAATTCATCCCTGTGTACTGCATTTGTAGTTAAATTCTTCCAAAACCAGCTGTTCTGAAAATGCTGCCAAATAGCTTCTTTTTAACTTCTATAAGACTGCTATTCTTTGTTTGTGTGTGGACTTACAAGAAGTATTTCTCTCACAATTATGCTGCTATTTATAAGAATATTTACCTGAACTGTTTTATACTATATGAAATAAAAGTCATCATAACAAAATGCCAATCTTGCACCTTGCAACTTTTACCTTGCTTGTTTGTCAACAAGGTCACTACATAGCTAGAGCCTCTTCAAGCTCACATCAAGTCTCGAGACTCACTTCCATGGCCTTTGAGATGCCTAAAAAGTTAAACTCGGCCCTTTTTTTTTTTTTCTTTAGCTCTTAGTCAGGTTCAAGGATCAATTTTTGGAGTATCATGTTCCATGAAATTGAAACGGCCAAAGAGTTTCTGTTCAGGAAGTCTCTGCCTCTGTCTATCTTGGAAGCACATTTACATGTCATATGTGCCAACCCACTGACCTCTTAGAAAACATCATTAACAGAAAATAACATTGCAAGAGAGAGAACCCATTGTTTGTCATACCTGCATACTGTGTAACAGAAAATTAATCACCTAAACAAAACAAAAATTTGAATGACATGCTAACATTAATTTCACAAATAGGTGTCTCTTGATCCATTTTGAATGATGTTTTTGTGCTTTTGATAACATGAAAAATGGATGTCTTTTATGTCTTCTATGATAAAGGACAGTATCTCTTGAAAAATTATTGAGGATTTACAGATTTGTGTATGGTAAACAGTACGGCAGACATCAATACAGGATGAAGATCCTTCCCTGTGTTCAACTCCCCTTGCACTTCCTGAAGAGAATGTCCCACCAGCTGCTGTGATCCACAATGCCCTTGCAAGCGTCAGAGATGCCTTCTGTTCTGCAGATGAAATCTTCTGTTTCACAGTTCCCTGAAGTAAAGTGTGTGAAAGAAAAAAGGAGGAGAAAGATAAAGAGAAGCCCAAACTTTCAATTTTCGTTTGTGTTCTGCTGATTTATTTTCCCTGTTTCTAATATTTCTTCCATTGCTAGGAACTGGCTCTAACTGCTATGTTACTTCCTGGGAATAATGATCAAACCAGCAGACACGCTTGTACAAGAGAGATTTGGTGTCTTCACTCATTGTAAACATCTGTGTTGGTCTGGATATGTATTCCTATGCATCAAAGCCTTCTGGATAGAATTGAGTTTGAACACATAAAAGTATTTCATTATAATATATATATATATATAACTGTTTTTATACAGTATTTAACACAAAAAAGTGATGGTCTTACTGAAGAGAGAAGCACTACACCTTGCTGTGACTAGAAAAAGGGGCAAGAAAATTAATTTGTACTGTTTTGCTGGGATTTCATCTGTCTGACTTTCCAATGACTCACTTTATTAGGAAATGAGACACTATGAATACACATACACAGGTGAACCTCTGGATTACTACAGGATGGGTTAGCAGCTAGGTATGTACCAAGGGTGCTTACTGACTCTGGATCATAGCAGCTAAACCTGGTTTATTATCACTAAGCAAGATGCTGAGAGATGATTCTGAAATACTGTGAACATACAGAAAGGTGAAGAAATAGTGTTATGCATCTCAAGGTATGTTGTGTGTGAATGTATTTGTGGGTTGTCTTTGTGCATTCTGGTTGCAGTAAGGTATTTCTATAGATATAAAATATTCGGGGTAGAATCGGACACTTAAAAGATGACTCTAAATGTGTTTTAGAAGAAAGCAGCAGAGAATCAGTAGGGAAAGCATTTTATTTCTCCCTCTCTCTCTCTCTGTATAAAAGAAGAGTGATCTGTGCACAGCTGTCATACCTTTGCTCCCTTTGATGCCAGACTAACAGGAGGGAAACTCCAGGGTTGTGTTTCTGGAGACCACCAAAGGCCAATTTTTGTTTAGTAGTACTTCTCACCAGTTCTCTCAGCTGTACTCAGAAGGCCTAGGCTTTCTGCGTAGAGACCAGGACCATGGAGATGTGAGAACCCAACTGCACAGCTACGGCTCCATGAGGCTTTGAATAGAAATGTTAGGACTCAAGGAGACCTTTTACAAGATCACTTGGTTGACCAGTGGTTAATTGTCAATGGTAACAGTGTGGGCAAGGGACAGTGGTTGACCGCTGTCTCCAGCTTTTCCTGGTGGATTTGCTTGTCTGAGCAGGATCTTGGAGCCCACTTCTGTAGAAAGAGTCCTCAGCTAACTCAGGGCATACATTAACAGTCCAACTCATGTGTGTGTGCTTTCTTGTCTACTATTCTGTGTTCTCTGTTCTACTCTAAGATTTGATCAAAAGCCTGTGACACTGCACAAGTAAGCTGGGAAAAAGCAATGAAAATAGGAGAAATTCCTCCTTTTCGCCATCACCTTGGCCTCAAATCATTGACAGGGTGTTCACAAACTGCATCCTTCCATTTGTGATGCTGATGCGGCCACTAATCATAGCTCAAATGAAAAAAAAATTAAAAACGACAAACAAAACCCAACCCAAACCACATGGATCCACAGGGGTTTTCTCCTGTGATTTCTAAAGCCTTGCCAAAATCCTGTGCAGTTCTGCCATTTGCACTGTAGATTGTGTCTACATAGGTGCCAATGATAGGGCAAAAGTACATCATCAGTGGTGGCACTGAAAAGGAGGAATTAGTGCACACCTGCAACATATTCTGAATTAGGTAAATCCTGAACACAACAAAATGGTGGTGAAAGGTGTAGATCAGCTAGTTAGGGTAATATGACTTACATGCCAAATTCATCTGATGACTAGCATCACCCTTCCTCTCAGGAAGGCAGGCTTCAGTGTATTTTCCAGACTTGATTAATAATTTATTTGGCATCTGGAAGTCACAGCAAAACAGCTCATATGGAAAGGGAGGATGTAAATTGTCTGCCTCTTCCAGGCACCACTGGGTTATTATTCACAGCTAAAATACTATTTGTAAAATATTTGTGTATTTAATATTTTAAAGAGCAGCTCTGGCACTTGGGTTGCTTTCAGCATTCTCGAGGCAGAGGGGGCTGGGTATCTGCTAAAGATACAGTCATCTGGAAGATGTGCTTTCATCGCCAAATGAACCAGCCAGAAGACGATTTTAATATGCAAGGAAGCAGGCACTAGAGTAAGGGGAGATTAATTTGAGCTTAGTGCCTTTTGAACGAAAGTTGTCATCCATGGAAGACAAGGGGAACCTTTCCAAGCTGGGTCTGCAGTCACACACAGAGGACACAGTCTGCCTACCCTAAACAGGGGATTGCTGGAGCTCAGGTCAGAGCACATTAAATGGAAGACAGTTGCTTACAGATTTTGCAGCTGTACAGGCGATATATTTCTGTCTTTCTGCAGCTATCACTCAATGATGACCTCAACCTGGTTGTGACAGCTTCCCTGATCATCTTCTAGGAATTCACCTGCTAATATAACACAGTATTTTAATGTACTTATAGTGCCATGCTACTTACTTGCTGTATGCTATCTGCAGTATTTTTTCTCAGAGCTGTAATTCTATTTACCAACCGTGAGAGACTGAAATGTTAATAGTTAATGACTCAAACAATCATCCATTTGCAAAAGCAGTAGGGTGCTTTGCTAAGGCGGGGTTTGCACACCACCACCCCCCACCACCCCTCCCCACCAACTCAAGGGAAGAAGTAGCGATTTTTGTGTGTGGTGGTGAAACCTCTGATCCGAACAAGACAGAGGGGATGAACACCCCACACTGGAGGCTACAAGCTGGGTTTTGAGCCTCCCTGTGGAGGGGGAAGAATGCTTTTCATCATGCCAACGTCCTCCCTTAGGCAACCGCCTCAATTGTAAAACTCCCCTCTCCCTGCCAGGGGATGTATTAGGACATTCACACACAGGCCTGAAGGTATTCATCCCTTCTGATGGGGCATAACTGGCTCAACTCCTCTGACATGAGAGGCAGCTGTCATGTCTTAGAAGGTGTTAAAAGACAATCAAAGACCTCTGAAGTGCCCCTAGACTCATTTCTGGGGCCTTCCACCAGAGGCTTGCCCAGTGTTGCAACAAGTGTAAAAATGCCTGCCCCAGAGAGCTACCTGGGTGTTCCCATGCAAACCTAAGTGTTGGACTTTGTGTTTCACGGGCTTCCCACACCCCTGATGCATCAAGACTGTGATCATCACTTCAACCAATGGACATGTAAATTGCAACAATCGAGACTCATCGCTGGATCCACGGGTGGTGGTAGCTTTCCACTCTTATCCTTTCTTTCTCTTCTTTTCTTTTTGTTATATATGTTCTTAAGCTATACCTTAATACTTTTATATTAACCAACACAGCTACATACCTCCTTTCCATTACAACCAAATTGTTCTTAAATAAACACTACATATACATACATTTAGTTCTAAACACTGATCATTGTGTTGTTTCACTCTAATATATCCCAAGGGATCTATTAACATGAACCTGAGCTACCCTCACTTTCAGGGGCAGGTCATAATACCAACCGCATATTCTTATGCTAACAGGTCTCATTGTCTTATCAAGAGGTTTTTAATGGAGGAGGACATCTAATTAACTGAAAAGGGAAAGGAAACTGCTAAATGCTGAGTCACATTCAAGGTACTTTTTTTTTCCTTTTTAAGAGATTGAAGTTGCTGTATCTGAAAAGCTGTAGCTGCTGTGCTCATTCTTGGCTTTCACAACCACAATATTCAAAGACTCCCCAGGTTTATATACCTAAATCTACAACTTAATTTACAACAGTAAAAGAAACAAAATATCCTCTTCTCTTTATTTGACTCCAGCATATGGACTATACTGTCATTACTATTGTTAATGACTTTCAGGGAATAACATATCCTGTGTCTAACCCAGACCAGCATTCCCCTGAGTTACATTCTGCACATACATAATCCAAGATACTGAAGAACAATTTGGCTGTGGTGGAAGGATGGACTAGATGATCTCCCAGATTCTCTGAGAAGATTCAGTGTGCAAGAGTCGTGGCTGGGGATAGTGCTAATATGAATGACCGAGTGCCCAAACACATGGCTATTCTGTACCTTGCAGTGGCACTCTCAAGAATGTGAATTACAAATGCCTAAAAAATCATCTGGACCCTAGGCAGTACCCCAGAAATAAGGATGACAAAGATGGGAAAGGAAGGGAATAGGAGATGAGTAGTGAATTTGTGGAAAGCCAAGACTTACCAAGCAATCTGGTTGCTGTTCATTTACCCACTCTGCTCTCCTGGCTAATTTGACAGCCCGAATGAAATTGTTGGTGAGGAAAGCAGTGCGAGCATGCACAGTGTGCTGTGATTAGAAAGGGTACTGCTGGGGAGAGGAGCATCAGATCAGCCAAGCAGAAGTTTTCAGTGTATTCCCTCTGCCTTTTCTCCTGAGAGGTACTTGCCTTTTATTCTCAGCTCCGTTGCTTTCAGTCTTATTGTTGCAGCTTGCACCTCTTCTCTAAAACGTAAAATGCAGTCTGTTTCAGTACAATGAAGGCAAAGGGAGCTGATGTTCCCTTTGCTCCTAGGAGGATAAAAATGCCACAGCACTGATTCTGCATGGCAGGGAGGGGACAATCCAGCTCTCAATAACCAAAATAAGTCATATAGTTACTGTAATATCAAGCAGGGCTTGGTAGCAGACCCAGAACAGTTTGGTTGCATATTTATTCTCTGTTACTCCTTGTGTGCAATTAGGGATCCTAATCAATGACCAGGATTTGGTGTCCCTGACACAAAGGGGTCCCACGTGCTGTGGAAGGTCAGCTCATCTCCTTGTTGCATTTTAGGAGTCCTATCACCGGTTTATGTTGTCTCATCCTTAGTAACAATATCTGGGCTTGCAACAGAGCAATTGAGATTTCCTGCACCTTTTCCCTCCCAGTGCACTGGCTGGGCACAGATGTGAATTAATCTCATGAAAGATTCTGCTGTTTCTGAGGGGAAAAAAAAGGAATTAACCCTGAAAAATGGGGAACCTGCAGGAGTGCATAAACACATTCGATAGAGTGCACCAAGCAGTGTCTGGATGGTTAGTGAGGAAACCAGGTGGAATTTGTTTAGATTAACACTGAAAAGCACAAGATTGAAAAAACCAGAGCTTGTCCCTGTTCTGTTGAGGCTCCAAAGTCTTCTCTTTTTGGTGGCAGGAGAGCAACAGCTTAGTAAAGAAGATCAAGATTTGCATATTTAACCCCTTCAGCCTGGTGAAGGATGAGCTATATTCCAAAGCAGCTTTCAGAAGCTGCAGTCACAGCAGTGATTGTGTGCATATTAATCCCCAATAAATATTTTCCAGGATGAATGGCACAGTTCAGAAGTTGTGAAGAAGGACGACATCCTGAAAAGCACTGAGAAGCAAGCAAGCAAGCAGATACAGCAGAAAATGCAATTATAGTATTATAGTAAAGACAGCTTTGAGGAGAGACCTTACAAGCCAGCGTTACTTTAGTCTGCAGTAAGGGAAGATTAATAATGAACATAGATTGTTCAAATGAATCATATCATAATGGATGCCCTGAATGTCTTGTGATGGATGGCTAGACAGAAGTTAGTGCCACGAACACTGGTGATTGAACTGGCATACAAAACAGGTAGGAAGGAGGTTTCGGTCAGAGAAGGGCACAGGCAGCATCTGTCAGTAGGAGGGCAAAACCCACCTCCTGGAGAACAGCCATATCCTCCAACCTGTGATACAGGGGAGAAAACCAATGAAAAGGGAACAGTCAATGCTCGTACAAGGGCAGCCATGTCAGGCTGCACAGAGCCTGATGGATGTGTTCAGGAGCAATCTTTATCACCTGCAGCTTCAATGTGGATAGCTGCAGTTATATTGGATTAGGAGCTTGCATGAAACTGCTTTTCTGCCCTGCAGTCTGCTCAACCCAAACAACATTTTGAATTTGCAGTTAGGGTAGAAGCCTGAGTATTTCACACTGATTCACTACAGATAAGGCATAAGACTCTAAATAGGTGCTTTGCATATAATATCTTTTTCCTGATACAGCAATGACTCTTCAATTTACTGGCTAAGGTAGCAGAGTTTGCTAACTGGCACCTGATAAATGCCACATCTGCCTCCCTGGAAGACCCATCAATAAGTAAATTCAGTGCAAGCTACTGAAACATTGCTAGGTGGTGAACAAATGCCATACAGGGCTGGCTGACTGGACCAGAGCAGCCACAGAGTTTCAGAGATTGCCCTCTCTCACCACATACACCTACCAGCCCTGCTGGGGCCAGTCGAGTTCTTCTGTCATGTCTCTCTTCCCCAGCCCATGAAAAATGTAGCTGACCCATTGGAAAAAAAAAGTCAGAGCCTGTGAAACTGGTAAGAGCTACAAAAAAAAAAAAAAAAAAGAGAAGGGGGAAAAAAGCATAGCAAGTATTTTTCCTGCTCTGATGATAGGCATAATCTGGAAGAAACCCAAACCAAACAAAAAAAAATCCCAACCCAACAATAACAACAACAACAACAACAAAAAACCCCCAAAGCGACAGAGCCTCTCATTACCCTCCTTGCTGGATAGATGCAAAAGTAATTTAAAAAGCAGCAGGAGAAGGGGTGTGACGCAAAATCTCACTGCAAATAGTATGCCCCCCTCCTTCTATTTTTGCCAGAATTTGTACACGTTTTCAAGTCCTACCCAGCCGAAGCTGTAGTGGAGATGCTCAAATAAGCTCCTAGACCTGGGACCAATGTTTCTGCAAGTGTGAAGAAATGGTGACATACCCAGCTACACCATGACTGTGCCTTGCCTTCTGACTGCACCATAACCCGGTGGCCTTTGTAGCCATTGATAGTGAGGAAAGCAGGAGAGGAGAGTTTATCAACAGCGTTCAGATGCCATTCCAACAGCAATACTTCAAATGAGCTGGTCTGATCACCATCGACCACCTTCAGTTGATACCAATGTCAGCATATTACAGGGGCAAGGAAGAGAGGGAAAAGGGGAAGGGAAAGGGGAAGGGAAAGGGAAAGGGAAAGGGAAAGGGAAAGGGAAAGGGAAAGGGAAAGGGAAAGGGAAAGGGAAAGGGAAAGGGAAAGGGGGGAAAGGAGGGAAGGAAGAAATTACTGTACTAAAGACATGGGAATTGTGTGTTATACAGTGTCATAGATACACCAGTAAACAGCATGATTATAAGCAACCTATTATTCTAATAGGCTTTACGATTAACAGCAAAATTTTACCACTTAAGTGTCCATTCCTCTGTTAAAAACTACCCAGGTAGTGCATGACCATAGTCCTCTATTAAGTGTGAAGTAAACACATCCCTTCAAATTAATTCTTAGTCTGACGCAGCCTTTGCTTCAGGCATTGACTCTTTGTCATGTCTTCTGTATTGAAGGTATGAAACAAAAGAGCAGCTGGAAATAAATGAAAAGTCTGAAAACTTTGCTCTGAAAAGCAACTCTACCAGACTACTCCCTCCTATATTCAGCAGATCTGCATCTTTGTCAGTCAAATTGTCTCTCGGGTGATTAAAACAAGCTTTCACTCACAGAAGAGCTGACACAGCCCATAAAAATGTTTGCATAATGCAGAAGAAGAATTTATTAATTATGTTTCTGCTGTGATTAAGACTGTAGTAGGAGCTGACCACTCAAATATTATCCTCCAAATAATCGAGGTCTGAGCCTGCACTCTTAGGTCAGGAAAGGAGCCATGGTGCCTGCTGTCCCACAAGTACTATTGTAACGTATCCTCTGGTGGCAGGGCCAGGCCAGTACATCCAAAATGGAGGATCAGAGAGGGAGAAAGGCCACAATAAATACCTGTGATTTGGGCTTGGATGTTGTAAACATAGGCAAAGTAGTAAATGCTCTGAGCACCTGGCTTGATGCATGCAGTCTGAGCCTTGTGTGTAATTAAGAGCACCTTTTTGCTCTGTAGGTATCAGGGCTATGCAGCAGCACAGGAGTTGCTTTCCAGGCAGCACTCTGGGCCACTATCTTTTCCACAGCAGCAAACATGTCCATTTTCCTCAGGGGAATAGACAGTAGTGCTGGGAAGGACAAACATGCAACAAGCTGTCTGACACAGATCATAAGTCTTTATTTGTCTTCAGCTCTCCTTGCCAGAGCAGGTGGATTTTGCATCTTTAAAAGCCCTTTGCTTCAGTTATCATTTATAACCCTGGATATGTTTACAGGTTTCCTTACTCCTTCCGTGCATTCTTATATTGAATTTATTCCTGTGCTTCTTCCTTTCTTTCCTTCCACTCTTCTCCACATCTTTCCCCCCAGCAAGCTTGTCCTAAGGAGATACCCTGGGGAAAAACCCTTATCTGATCTTATGAGAATGTTTCTAAGGTATGCACACTCTCTACAAGTATAAGTGGGCCTATGTACTATTTTATTTGGTTTTGAAGCTTAGAACTGGGTTTCCTCATCCTCTTTTGGAATTCTAATATGTAGTCTGAATTTCAAGGTTGTAAATCTTGCAAATCTTTATAGATCTCACTGAGATCTGAAATAAAGCCCCCAGAAGCATGGTCAGGGAGACTAGACTAGACTAGACTAGACTAGACTAGACTAGACTCATTTGGGTTGAAAAATACCTTTAGGATCATCAAGCCCAACCATTAACCCAGCATTGCCAAGTCCCACTAAACCATGTCCCTGAGTGCCACATCTATGTGTCTTTTAAGTACCTCCTGGGACAGGGACCCAACCTTTCTCTGGGCAGCCTTTTTCCAATGCTTGACAAAACCCTTTGAAGAAATTTTCCCTAATATCCAATCTAAACCTCCCCTGGTACAACTTGAGGCTGTTTCCCCTTGTCCTGTCATTTGTTACATGGGAGAAAAGGCAGACCCCCACCTGGTTACAATCTCCTTTCAGGTAGGTGCAGAGAGTGATAAGGTGCTCCCTGAGCCTCCTGGCTAAACAAGCCCAGCTTCCTCAGCCACTCCTCATAACATTTATGCTCCAGACCTTTCCCCGGCTCTGTTGCCCTTCTCTGGACATACTCCAGCACCTTGATGTCTTTCTGGTAGTGAGGGGCCCAAAACTGAACACAGGATTTGAGGTGTGGCCTCACCAGTGCTGAGTACAGGAAGATGATCACTGCCCTGATTCCTCACTATTGCTGATACAGGCCAGGATGTTCAGTAGAGGAGTAAGAGATGAGATTTTTACCTCAAATTCATTTCTAGGTTTGTACTGTTTAACTTTAGCAGCATAATACTGCAGTAGGGCCTCTGTGAGCCTCACAGCTATAAAAAACCCAGATGATATCTATTGGTATTGCTGTAGAGTCCGAGTAGCATTTTAGGATTTAAGGAGATATGTGATATCACAGATATTTCCTTTCTGCCTTAGAAAGAGATATGGACAATGAGGTGCTGGAGCCCCCTTCCAGGGATGGTAAGGGTTAGGGATACGAGGCTCAGGAACATGCTGATGCCCCTTTGCTGGTCTTGGAGTTTGACTGCAACTATTTGGCAGCACCTTATACTGAGAAAAGATGAAAACTTCAGATTTTAGGACACAGACTTCCCGTCGAGAGAGCTGATGGAGGGTGGCTGAACACATATACAAGTCCT